AGTAAATTATTTAGCTCTTTATATACATTTTAGCCACTATTAAGAGCCGCTGGAGAGGGTCCAAAGAGCCATAGGTGGCTCTGGAGCCGCAGGTTGCAGACCCCTGGCCTAGGTGGAGTGCAACTTTTCTACTTCTGTTATTTGCTGTTGTTTCTCAAATAAAGTTCATAATGATATTACAACTTTCATTGATTTATTTCAAATTTGAAACATTTTCTAGACCGTAAGGTAAAAAAAATCGAATCAAATCGTATCTTGGTTTATTCTTGAGTATCGAAATAATCTAATTGTTGAGTCAGGAAATCGATACTGAATCGAATCACCATGATGGGTGTGATTTACACCCCTACGTATGGTTAACAGTTATTACTTATTTGTGCACATTCATTATGTATTTTAGTAAGACATTTTCATTTAAATGCCATCAAAATGCGTATTGTATTATGGTGAAATAAAGATGAAAAGAAGTCAACCCTGTGACAGTAAAGAGGAGAAAAAAGGAGGAAACAGAAAGCTGCACTCAAAGTTATATAAAGTTACTAGCTTCCCCAGCTAGCAGCAAAAGCAGCAACCCACAAACAGCAGCAAGTGCAACCATGACGTCCACACCTGTCAGGGAGGTTCAATTGTTTTGAGATGAACAAATTATGAATATTAAAAATCAGTCGAAGGGCAATTTTTTTTTTTTTTTTGTTATCTCCAGTATTGATATTTTTAAATCCCAGCGAAGACGGGAAACTTTACAGATCTTATTTAAGTAAGCCACACATTTTGTTTTCATTCCCTATGACAAATCAACAATTAAAGTGTTTTTTTTTTTTGTGGCCGGTGTGTCTTGAATTTTACAGAAAACATCAGGTTTTGGGTTATTTTTCTTGGGAGTTCTTGGTAAATAGGATGTCCTCAGTGCAAGATAATTTGCAATATAAGATTTTAAGGACAAGAGGGAGTACAAATACAAAGACTTTGAGAAAAGACAACATGAAGAATGAGACAACAACAAAGAGGGACAGAACCACGTGTAAAACGGAAAGGAGAAAAATTATAAGGAAGAGAGGAATAGAGATACTAATACCGAGTAGAACACAAGTGAGAGAAAAATAAGAGAGAGAGATGATAATGAGGGCCCGAAGGTAGAAAGAAAAGGTAAAAAAGGGACAGAAAGAGCTTAATAACCGGAAATGGGGCCTGTTTACACAGTTGTAGTCTTTTCGCTTCACTCTGTGTACTCCGACGTCGAGAATCAAGAATCCACCTTTCGTATTCCATTTTCANTTCAAAGCCCACAATTAGAACCTTGGCAATTAGTCAATTAGAACCTTGGCAAAACGTGCAAAATACAATCTGATATATTCAACTATTTTGGAACAAACTTGTAAAAATGTCAGCCTGTAGATATAAAAACATGGAATAGAAACAGGAACCAGCGGACGTGCTGCTGTAGCTACACATTAGCTTCATCCACAGAGGCTCTACACATATCTACAAAACATCTTTTAAGCTTTTTGCACTACTTTGAGTCAGCCTATTACATAAACTTGCAATAAAAAAACAATTTAATTTGTGGTTGAAAAGGTGTAAATGTTTTAGTGAACCATGAAGACAAATAGAACTTCCCCAGACTTAATAATAATTCCACTGTGGGGCTGCAGAGGCTCAGACAATGGGCGCTTCCTTTGTGAAGGGCAGATGATTATGTCACCTGGTGTTACATTTATGACTCATATCCAGAACAAAGCAACAAACAAGCGGAACTTAAAAAAAGCTCAGTATCAAAGAGTGACCTGATACGATCCTGCTGGTGCAGCCTCCTCCTCTCCTCGTCCTCCTGCTTCCTCTTCTCTTCCAGACGTTCAGACTAAAACACAACAGGCATCAGTCACAAACAGATCTGAACAGAAAATTCTTTAAATGAATGTGTTTTCCCTTTATTAGAGCAGATAAGTAAGATGTTCAGCTGACAGACAGAGAACGCTCCCCTTAAAATAGGAGAATTGGATATAAATTAAAGCTTTTCTATCTTATATTGATCCCCAGTCCTCCATGTTTTATGTGTTTGAGTTTGAATGAGTGATTGACCTTTTTCTGCAGCTTTCTCTCCCCTCATGAACACGACACTAAGGTACTTAAACTCTTCAAATTCAACCCTAAATGTACAGGAGGAACACACTAATAACCAGAAAGAGGTTAGTTTAAACGGAGCAAGCCAGTTATGCTGATGATGCACAGCTATCCGAGGGACGTTCAATAAGTAATGCCTCTTACCCACTTCCAGTTGTTTGATCCAGCTGAAATTTTGCATGTGCAATTATTCATATTTCTATAGCTTAAACGGCAAATTAAAACTCTGAATTAATTTTGGTTTCTGATTTAATGGAGTTTGAACTGAGTCAAATCTGAAATGGAGCCTGTTGCGTGTTGGGCAGTGATCTGCACACCATGGGAGACTTTTGACGGAAGAAAAGTAACTTATGGTAACGATCCCCCATCATATGACCTTGAAAAACGTTTTACAAGGTCATATGATGGGACATGCGAAATTTCAGAGAGATCAAACAACCAGAAATGGGTCATGGGAATCACTTATTGAAAGCCCCTCACACCTACAACAGCAAACTCGTTTCTGACAAGCATCTGACCTTTTAAACATTTGCTTTTTATTTATTCTAAGACAAAACAAAGATTTTTTTTCATGTAAATTCTCAGAATCTGAAATCCAAATGGGTTTTTTGTTTTTTATTTATGAAGCTTATTTGAAAGAAACGATGACACAGGAGTGTTAAAGTTCAAACGTCATCTCCCTCTACTGGTTGTACAAGCAACAAAGGAAACGACAGCAAAACGAGATCACAGGCTGACAGGTTCAACAACATGGTCAAACAACATAAAGTGAAGAACAATGCAATGCACGTTATCCCTCATGTAGACACCATACATATGCTCACAGCATAAAGACACAACATATACAACGTCCATTACATAAGCACGATACATGGATACACCAGAAGACACATAAACATATTTTTGGCACTAACGGAACCCCATACCTGTCGCGCTTCCTACGTCACAATCAGTTGCTCTCATTGGTCAGAGCGTTGGCCAATAGGCACAGACATGGTTTGAAAAACAACGGGTGGTTCTCATCAACAATCTTCCGATGTCTCATTCATCGGGGCCAGACTAAATTAAACATTTATTCTCACATTTAGTCTGGATTATCAGGCTAATTAGCAGACGCAGCAACCAGTTGGTGGCGCACAACAACAATGCAGAACAACGAGAACGAGGGGACCAATTACTGGCTGGGAGGAGTTAAACTTTTTGAATCTAAATTATTTTCATCCGTCCGATGAATCTGACAAATTAAAATGTTTAATATTCTTATTCTCAACAACAAAGATATATATATAAAAAATGCATATCTGTATAAATTCAAGCGTTTACTGGATGCCTTTGGTGGTTTTGGAGTGTTAAGAAGCCGCCCAGTTTGCTCATGCTTCCGACTGGCTCTGCTTGCATCGCCTACAGAAGTGGTTCCCAAACTTTTACTTCCATATTTTTAAACATCTACAGAGATGTTAAGCTTTCTATACATAAACCAACCGTTTTATTTGCTTTATTGCATTTTTCACCCGAGGGAAGTTCTTTAGTCTCTTTCCTCACTGCAAAATCTTTCATTTAAGCAGGTAATTAAGAGGATTTGCAAATGGATTTGAATAAGATAATTAAATATTTGCACTTGAAATAAGAAAATGCAATAGTTTTTCTTATTTTAAATGTAAATTGTCTGGTTCTGCTGTTGCGCTTATTTTGAGAAAAAATGACTTTTTCAGATTCTATTTTTTCCAGTTCTTTTAACCTGTGATGTTTTTAACCCAGTGTGGACAGCAGACTCTTGTCTCAGCATCTAAAGGCTACATTGATGATGTCACGCTCTGCCTCAGTCTGTGAGCACAGAGACGGTAATTCCAGTAAAAACAAGGGATCAGGATGATGTATTCCCAAGCAGGAGGCTGGCGTTTGACAGCGTTATGTTCCATCACGTCCAGAATCTAAGATTAAACTGTTTTCTCACCATGGGTTTATTAGTTGGATTAGCAAGATGTTTCAGTGTCATAACAGGAAAAGATCTTCAGGGAAGCAGCTTGGCCTCCATGTCAATCAGCCTTTTCCAGAGAAGCAGCAACCCATTAACCTCGATCCGACCCTGAGCACGGCCAGACAGACAAAAACACGTCTGACATGCCGTTAGCGGCTGAAAAGCCACAAACGCTTCTGTCAGGTGGTTCTTTAGGCTGATGTTGTGTTTACTGGAGGAGCCACAGTGGGAGCCTCCACAGTGGAGGGATGCTTGACTTTGCTGACATCTACAGGCTGAACATGACTCAGGGATAAACGAAGCAGGAGAGGAAAACAAGGAGCCGTTTTAATTTATATTCCTCAGTCACATATGAATGTACAAACTATTCCCTTTAAAGTGAGGAGTCGTTTCTTGAGGGTTTTTTTTTTTGTATTGTGTGAAAACATCTGTAAAAATTAACCGGGATCATAAAATAAAGCCACACAGCTGAGGAATAAGCCAAGACAAGAGGTTCCTGACAAAATCTCACCGCAGGATTCAGCATTGTCAGCAGTTGGACCAAAATTAGTTTTAAACAATGACCGTGTGACGAGAAAACAGCATAGAAACTCCATGAAGGATGCACTGCAGCATCAGGATAGATCAGGATGCACTGCAGCATCAGGATAGATCAGGATGCACTGCAGCATCAGCATAGATCAGGATGCACTGCAGCATCAGGATAGATCAGGATGCAGAATACCGAGCTTGTTCAGTCCGACCATGAAACATGACGTGACAGAATGGGCTTACCCACTGTTGTGCCATATGCCATGATCATGGTTTTTGGACATTGGGAACCAGTCTCCATATTTAATCTTGACATGATGACCAGAGAAGAGGACTCAAATTTGGAGAATAACCAAATCAGCCAAGACATCCACAGGCAGCCCACAGAGGTGTGACTTCCCAGCCTCCTCTGTGTGAGGACAGAAAAGTACCACAGAACACGCTCTTTCCTTTTCTCTTTTCCCATGGAGCTGCCTGGATGAATGTCTGGGAGGCGGCAAGAGTGGAAATCTGGGCCCAAAAAGACGCAGATCTCCAGAATCATCAATGATGGGTAATGGTGGTAAGCTTTCAGAACCAAACTGCTGCAAAACAGACCTTTTACAACACATTTCTCTTGAGTTTCAGAACTTATAGAACCAGATCAAACTCAAGTCTTCCAAATGGACATGGACAAAAAGGTTTGCAGGTCTGGCATGATTAGGGACAGAATAAACAAAATGAATTTACTGATGAGTAGAGAAAAGCTAACAGGATGGACTGCATCCTATGCTATAGTTACATGTTTTGAGCTGTTGTTGAAGCTTGGACAAGCTTTATTTCATTAAGGGTTTAAACACCGATATAACATTAGTGTTCATGTGTTCCTCAGATGCTCATTACATTTCCATTACCAAGTCTGACCAAGAGTCATTTAGTGGAATCCTGATGTCTATTCGCTGCTAGCTATTTCAAAGAGGGTAAAGAATCATTTAACTAAAGGTTATTGGTTCTTCATTAAGCAAATCATTTAATAAAACATTATTTGGCCAAATATTGTGAATTGCTCTGAAAACATTCCAATTTCTCTAAATTAGTAAAAAGCTAATTTGATCAGATCCCAAATTCTTCCAGATAAACTTTGGTTTCAAACACAGAATCCATCTTAAACTGTAATATGGTTTTCAAACATGTTTCCTTTCCTCTTTGTACATAGTAGTTTAGTTTAGTTGAGTTTAGTTTCACTAGTTTTAGTTAACCGTAATATGTTTGACTTGGAGCTGAAGGATTTTTGTTAATAAACTCTTACAGTTTGAACAGAAGTTGTGGTAAATTTATTCCATGGTTGTGCAGATTTAACTCTTTAACTATGATTAGTGCTCGAATCACTCTTTCATTTATTGTTCTAACACACAGTTAGTAGGACTGGGTGTCATAAACACTATATAACAGCCAAAATAATAAGGAAATAAACATATTAAAGTATCAGAAATATAAATTCCCAGCTGGCTGAGAATTGAATAGAACATAAAATCACAACACCACAGTTCTACCGGATAACACGGCTAAATCAGAAACTTCTTCAAAGCAAACTTCTTCCAACATTTTAGGCTAACAAAAGCCTCTTTCTCACTGAAAATTACTCAACGCGTTTTTTTCCAAACATGGGTCGACCCGCTAACAATCAGCATTTGCTGGTGAAGATTCTCAGTCCTCCAGGTCCTACTCAATCCAAAAAAGTAAAATAAAACAATCCATGGGACTTTGTTTCCAACTTTGAAGACGTTTCTCTTCCCATCCAGGAAGCTTTATCAATTCAAAATGTCAGAAATAGCGTTTAGTTCCAGGTTTTATAGAGTGGACCAAAAGCAAAGCCTTGTTTTGGCTTAGAAAACATGCAAATTGAACCAGAAGAACGGCTCCGCCCCTTGGGAATGGGCAGTCATTGGGTCCTTCGTTTTTAAAGACAAAGACAGGTATCAGGTATTGCAGGCTAATGGAGAACCCAAACCAACCCCATTACAAAGGGGCGGACCCATTCATCCACTTCAATTTGGATGTTTTCTAACCTGAAACAAGGCTTTGTTTGGGTCCACTCTATAAAGCCTCAAACTAAACGCTATTTCTCACATTTTGACTTGAAAAAGCTTCCTGGATGGGAAGAGAAACGTCTTCTATCATGGAAACGAAGTCCAGTGGATTGTTTTTTTTTTTTTTTTAAGTTTTTTGGAACGAATCGACTCTTTTTTTTCCACTGGCATAAAAAGCTGATCTCAGGGTGTAGTTATTGTTTTGCTCTATTTCATTTTGAATCCCTCTCACCAGAGCTGCTCCATGTTTATCAGGTGTAAACAGTTGTTTCAGCTTGTTAGATCAGGGGTCAGTATCACGAAGCAGGTTTAACAAATTCAGATTCAAATCCTAATCTCTAGCCTAAAGTCCGGAACTCTGAGTGTTCGGTTTCAGCTGCTATCGTTTAGTCCAATTGATTTTAACTAGGTCCATTCAGAGTTTAGCGCGTGCACAACAAGTATGAAAAGCCATTATCAGTGGAGCACTGAGTCGTCGTGTAACCACGACAGGAAGTGCCTATTTCACCCCTCTGGGAGTAGGAACCGGATTTTAATACAAAAAATAAAAATAAGAAAGGAGAATGTGTTTAAAATACAGAGAAACAGCACAGCACTAGTTAAAAAACAGTTCTATGGCAGGCCGTTTTTACATTTACTATAAACACTCTTCTCTGTTGTTCCATTTGTAGTTCACTAAAATAGGATTCTTCGTGATCAAAATCACACTCCTAGACCTAACTGTGATTATCTATTTTCTGAAATACATTTTTGTAGCAAAGACTGAACTTTAGATAATGAAAAAAAAAAAAAAATTATAAGTTTTTTAAGTTTGATATATCCAGAAATGTTTAGACATTTTAAGTGGCCATTCTGACATTTATCAGCTTGACTGAAAAAGTATTTAATGATATCTGAAATACATTTCTTCATAATCAAAACAATAAAAAATGCTGACTAGTAATTTTAGGAATATGGAGATCTGAAATTCATTTCTAGATGTCCAGAATGTTTATTCTAGATGTGGAGAGTGTCATTTAGTTTGACAAAGAATAGTCAAAGAAAAAAATATTTTTTTCAAGATTTATTAGTTTTAGTATGTACTAAACTAATAAATATCAAAATGGCTTGCCATAGCGTGTTGTAACCGCGATACTAATAAGGTCTTATTCTTGAAAGGCAGTGGATCAATGTATCTATTTAGGTGAAATCTCCTGTCAGCAGGTGAGGATGAAGAATAAAAACATTATTCTAATATATCGAACCTGTTCATCATCTCATGGGTTCCTCCTCATGTCGATTCATCTTCTTTTACACAGTAAATACTAAGTGGATGTTTGCAGCTTCGGATGTTATCATCCCAATTAGCCTCCGTTATTAGCGGCTATCAGTCCCATAGAATGGCTTCAGATTGTGCCAGTAGGCTCATTAGGTTGTTATCATGGAGTGAATCCTAATCCTAAAGTAATTCCTTTCCCCCATGAGATTAATGAATCTATTTATGTGTAATCTGAAAATAATCTCAGTAGTTCTTCATGTACTGTAAATGTAACTAAATAAAAATAAAATGATCCGTATCTCGTTCATATTAAACAAACCAAAACCGGGTAATAAGCTCATTAACATTAACAACTCAGTTAACATGCCCTGTTAAATTAGTTTTAAAATTCTCTCCCTATAAATATTCTCTGGGAATTAAAGCCAATCATTCTTTCATAAGATCCTCATCAGATAGACATATAATGTTTGCTTTAAAAACCTAAAGTTACTAAAAGACCTAGTAAATAATACATATTTTTTTATGCACAAAAATATGACAAAAATCAAAATCAGGAAATAAAACAGCGTGATTGGCTGTAAGGAGAGCAGAGACAGAGGAAACTGAGTTTACTGAAGAAAACCTGCTGCTGACCAGGTTAGCTCTGGGAGGATGTTACTATGGCAACAGAAACAGGGGTTGAGGGAACTATTTGTGAAAAGGAAATGTCAGAGTTTCCCTGATTTCAGATTTAGAAAACTGCTTTATGAAACGGAGCCCTGAAGCGACTGGCGCGGTGTGGTGACGTCAGAGGTGCCCATCAGAGCCGAGGTCATATTGATATTCTCTCTGTCATGATTTGTGGACATTAAGATCAGCAGATGGCCGCTCACACTGAGCCTGGTTCTGCTGGAGGTTTCTTCGTTTTCAAAGGAAGTTTTTCCTCTCCACTGTCGCTACAAGCATGCTGATCTATTTTTGTTTAAACATCCACATTAAGATTAAGGAAGGAGCTATCTCCAGCTGTCTATACGTAAGTGGCAGGCTCCATTCTGGACAGAGAGGCTGGGTCCACCCTGGACAGAGAGGAGGGGTCCATCGTGGACAGGTCTCCAGTCCATTGCAGGGCAATAGAGTGGCAGACAGGAAAAACAACCATTCTCACACCTAAGGAGTATTTAGAGAAGCCAATTGACCTAACAGTCATGTTGTTGGACTGTGGGAGGAAGCCGGAGTACCCAGAGAGAACCCACGCATGCTCAGGGAGAACATGCAGACTCCATGCAGAAATACCTGGGCCGGGAATTGAAGGCGGAACCTTCCTGCTGCAAGGCAGCAGTGCTACCCACCGCACCACTGAGCAGCCCAACAATATATTCCTCATAACTAAACTCTAATCAGATGTTATAATCAGATTAAACATCATTTCTATATGCAGCTGTGATGGTTACCTTCTCCCTCTGAATGTCCTTCATCCTCTGCAGCTCTTCCTCCTCCTCCTGTTTTTTCTTCCTCTTCGCCTCCTCCTCTTTAAGCTGGAAAATAAAAACCCTCAAAGTTAAAAGATTATTCATATTTTAATCATTCCTTTCAATTATCTGGACTGTTTCTGATTGTCTTGCTACAGTAGAGGAGATGGTTCATTTTAATCCATCAGATTACATTAGCTTTCAGACTTTGTACGATTTATAACAAACAGTTAACCATCATTAAAGAGGATCATGGTTTTACCTTCTTCTGCAGCTTGGAGCTCCTCAGTTGTGTTAACTGTCTCTGCCTGGCTTCATCTAAGCTTACATCTCCACCACCTGGACGGATTAACAGATATTAGCAACTATTAAGTACAGATAATCCTGTTGCAGCACAAAATGTCTCTGAGATGGTTACCTAGTCTCTCTGGATTAAGTTGCAGAGGAGAAGGCCGGTTTGCCTCCTTGTACCTCTGAAGTTCTTCCTCTTCTTTCTGAGCCACTGCAGAAAAATCCCACATCAGTCACTGGAAGCTACATTCAACAAACCTTTATGAAGATCAAATCAGATTTAGGAGGATCATTACTTGCTTTAATCTCGTTCCGGCGAGATTGGTTGGGTGGGATTACGGTGAACGCGCCTAAACTGAGACACAAACAGCTGGTTAGGATTGCATTTGATCCTGAGTTTAGACTTGAACAGCTGCAGCAGCATCAGTTCATTCTGCTAAATAAACCACATTCTTATAGACACACATATATATAATCAATCCATATTTATTTATATGGACCTATAAAAGGACAGACGTGTCAAAACTATTCATGTTTAGTACTTCAATGGAAATATAAATCCAACTTTTGTAGAAGTTAGAGGATCAACTTCAGGTTTTTACTCCAGTAAAAAGTGTAAAAGTAGCATTTTTAAAACTACTTAAAATATAAAAGTAAAAGTAAAGCAGGAAAAATTGCTAAGGACAGAATCTTTACTGCATTAAAGGAAGATTTTTCTACAATTCTGGATGATAACTTCCTCAGACTTCATTTTCTTAGTTTTATAACTAAAGGTAACAGCGTCACATTTAACTTTGCATTATCTGGAAAAATGATTTATTTTGGTTTGTGGTGAGCAACAGGTTGGGGCAGCACCGACTCCAACCATAAAGAAATTAATGGTCTGGATGAAACTAATTATTTTGATTGTTTTTATATTTTTAAATACCAACAGGCCAGAATGAAAATGAGCTTAAATGAAAAAAAAACTAACGAGTCTATTTTCAAAATGGAAGGAGTTAAAGTAAAAAAATTATCATTTCAGTAAAGTATAAATAGCCAATATTTCTATTTAAATAAGGTAATAAAGTATTTGTCCTTGGGTACTTGATATCTCTGTCAGATATGCAAAATAAATAAAATATGAGAGAAAGATAATAAAATAACAATTAAAATCCAACAAAAAAGAAATCAAAATGCTAAAAACATGCATTCAGTGTCAGATGTAGAGTGAGTTCAAAAGGCAACAAATTAAAGTGAAATTTAAAGAACATAATCTAAAACCAACTTGCGATTCCCGGGGTGGGGGGGGTGGGGGGGGGGGGGAAACGGTGCTGAAAATCTGACACCTGCTCAAAGGTTACCTGTGGGGGGGGGGGGGTGGAATTCTTTGGATATGGAACAACAAAATAAACCATGAAATGTATAAATTGGTATGAAATACTCAAATGTTTCAATAAATAAGTAGGTGTAACATTTATTTATCTATTCTTGTGAAGATTCTCAGTCATCCAGGTCATAGTCAGTCCAAAAAAGTTAAAATCCATCCACTGGACTTTGTTTCCAAGCTGGAAGACGTTTCTCTTCCATCCAGGAAGATTTTTTAATTCAAATGTTGTTGAAAATTGAAAAAGCTTCCTGGATGGGAAGCTTGGAAACAAAGTCCAGTGGATGGATTTTAACTTTTTTGGAACTTATTTATCTAGTACATGATTTAATTATCAAATATGCAATTAAATTGTAAAATTTTGAATTACATACATTTTGTATTTAAATAAAACAAAATTAATTTAGAATGTAGAATTAAATAAACAAATGTCATAATCATTAGATTATTTATAATGTACATAATTAGTTCAATTTCTATGTATAAATTAATATAAAAATCGGTATTCTATTTTTTTTTTCAGTCTTGTTGGGGCCTCAACAGAAAACATCTTCCAGCTTCCTCTGTGGTTCAGGAACAACAAGCAGCTTCCGGTTGGCGGTGTGGCATGGTTATCCTATCTGAGCCAGCAGAGGGCGCTGGAGGACAGTTTATAGCTTCAGACGTCATCAGAGCAAACCCGCATCGATCGCTTTCTCCTATGGGCGCTGACGTGATTTGGTGGCGCCATCTTGGGGCGGTCGACAGCTCCGCTCGGTCTGATGTGTTGAGCAGGAACAGAATAAGATTTTATCAACTTTCTGAATATTGAACTTATTTTCTCAGTTTTTTTTCTGCTAAAAAACAAACAAAAGGTTCAGTTTATTTAAATATTCCTAATGTGGTTAAGAGTAATAGAATATTCTGATAGGATGGATGCTTGTTGCAAAGCACAGCAACTCAGACATTTTATATTTTTTATTACTAATATACACAAACAGGTATACAGGTAAACACAAATATACATACCCATATATCTTTCTGTATTTTGCTATATTTTTTGCATTATATATATAGATAGATAGATAGATCAGCATGCTTGTAGCGACAGTGGAGAGGAAAAACTTCCTTTGAAAGGAAGAAACCTCCAGCAGAACCAGGCTCAGTGTGAGCGGCCATCTGCTGAGGCCAACATTGACATTAACGACCAAACTACATTTTTTTTTTTTAAATGTAACTAAAAAAGTTATTTTATAAAATGAATGAATGACATAGTGAAAAAAAATTACTTGAGGAAAAACACAACCCCCTTATTTTTCTCTGAAAACA